AAAAAGATCTAAAAGTGTAAAATCAACAACAGTAGTAGCCCTGAGATCAAATTTTGTATGGGATTTTTTTATAACTGAATCTGATACAGAATTAGATGTTATTTATGCAATTTGTCAAGTAAAAGATTGCACACGCAAATATGTTCATCATGGTTCTACATCAGATTATAGAAAACATCTTCGTGACAGTCATGACATTACTGAAGCTTCAATTGCTAGTAAAACTTCTGAACAAATTAATGCTTTAAAACAACCATCAAAACAATTATCTATTACTGAAATATTTAAAAAACCTCTTAATCCTAAACAACAGAAATTATTAAATCAAGAAATAGTAAAATTTATAATTGGAACAAGACAACCATTATCTATTGTTGAAAATACAGACTTTAGATCCTTTTGTACTGCACTTAATTCTCAATTATCTATTCCTTGCATTAATACAATTAAAGATTTAATAGATAGTTCATATAATCATATGAAAAATCAACTTAAAGATATGACTATTAAATCTATTCAATATATTCATTTGACTTTTGACTTATGGTCATCAAAAGCGCATGATTCATATTTAGGCATTACTGCCCATTGGATTGACAAAGATTTTGAGATTTACAGTTTAGTTTTAGATATTGGAGAAATACAATATCCACATACTGCTGTTGAAATTTCTCATCATGTATCAAAAGTTTTTAATGATTGGAATTTGGAAGAAAAAGTTTTAATAATTGTTACTGATAATAGAAATAATGTTAAATTAGCTGTATCAAGATTAGGCAAAGATTGGATTCCGTGCGCAACGCATACTTTACAATTATCAATTAATAAAGGATTAAAAATAGTTGATCTTTTAATAACAAAAATAAAAAGTCTTATTTTTTTTTTGGGAAGTGATAAAAAAAGACAACAATTAAGACATACACAAATTATTTGTAATAAGATTGAAGAAAGTGAAACAATTGAAATTATCAAACCAATTGATATAAGGTGAAGTTCTTTTTTATAATGCTTTAGTTTGACTTTATAAATTAAAAAATTCAATTAAATGGTTAGCTAATTCTTTAGAAAATAGTTAATCACGTGTTGACAATCATGATTTTAATATAATGGATCAGTTTTTACTCTCTTCAATTGAATGGCAAATTATTCAGGGATTGACAAATTTGTTAGCTCCTGCTGAACAAGCAACAAAATTATTAGGAAGTGAAAATTATATAACTTTAGCTATTACTATATCAATAATTGAAGAAGTTATACAACATTTTAAAAATATAAAATCATCAAATATGACAATTAACAATATGAAAAATGTAATATTAAATGATCTAATTTCAAGATGGAGTATTCTTAATAATTTTGGAACTATTGTTTTATTTTTTGAATCCTCATTTTAAAA